ATTTATAAAAATTCTCAACTCCGCTCGAAAATTTGGCAGTGAGACCCACGTCCCAAAACCCGATGAAACTCACAAAATCCGATAACCCATTCCGATACGAGTTCAACCATACCAATTTTATCAAATTTCGATAACTACTTGACCTCCAAATCTTAAATTTTTGTTCTTGAAAGGTTTTGTAAAAATCTTAATTTCTTCCATTTAAATTCGAAATAATGATGAATATAATCATATAATCATGAAGTATAATTACTTTCGGATATAGAACACTTACCTTAATCCATATAGTGAAAATCGCCTAAAAATCGCTTCAATCCGAGCTCTATAGCTCCAAATATGTTAGAAAAAGGTTGAAACCTTGAAATATAGCTTCTGCCCAGGTATTTACCCATCGCGATCGCAAAAAATGCTCCACTATTGCGAAGCACAATATTTCTCAACCCAAAAATTTTCCTTTGCGATCGCGGTAAAAGCCTTGCGATCGCAAAGAACAAGTGCCTAACTCTTCCAAATAGCCTCTAGTATAATGGTCATAACTTTTTGTAAAAAACTTCAAATTGTAAATGGTTTGACATTTTGAAAACTAGATACCAAGGACTAAAACTTTTATTCTTTTCTCATCTCCCAATTCCTTATAGATTACGAGATGTAAGCTGCCAAAATCAGCACTATGCAACACAATGCGATTTCCAAACTCTTTCCGGACATGTTGTATTGTGTCAGCTTTAACTCTTTGTACACAATTCCAAATATCAAGTGGTTTGATTTTCTAAAAACTAGACACAAATATCTACGATTTTCATTTCTGGATAATCTTCAAATTCTTTATAGATTGAAAGATATAAGCTTCCAAAATCGGATCAGTGCAGCAAAAAATTTACTCTACGCGATCGTGAACGCTCATCCGCGATCGCGAAGCACTGGCCAATTTCTTCCATTTTACTCATCGCGATCGCATCCAAATCCCCGCGATCGCATAGAACACTGATGTAGCCAAAAACCAGCACCTAAAATTGGCCTAGAAATGGTCCGAAACTCACTCAAGCCCCTTGGGACCCCATCCGAACATACCAACAAGTCTCAAAACATATCACAGACTTAGTCAAGGCCTCAAATCACATCAAAAGACTCTAAAAACACGAATCACACCCCAATTCAAGTCTAATGATTAAGAAATTTTAATTTCTATATTCGATGCCAAAACCTATCAAATCACGTCCGATTGACCTTAAATTTTACACATAGGTCACATTCGACATTGCAGACCTACTCCAACTTTCAAAATCAGAATCTGACCTCGATATCAAAAAGTCTATTCCCGGTCAAACTTCTCAAAAACCTTCAAATTTATATCTTTCGGCAAATGAACCCGAAATGACCTACAGACCTCCAATTCCACTTTTGAATGCGCTCCCAATACCAAAATCACCATACGGAGCTATTCCCAGACTCGGAATCGCAAACGGACATCAATAACGTTGAAATACACCTCAACCCAAATTTGTGAAATTCTTCCAAAATGGCATCTTTCTTAGTAGGCGTCGAAACACTCCCAAGTCATCTAAATTTTGATTCGGACATACGCCCAAGCCCAAAATCATCATACAAATTTGTTGAAACCTTCAAATCCCGATTCCGAGATCGTTTACTCAAAAATTACACTTTTGTCATTCTTCCAACTTAAAGCTCCCAAAATGAGAATTTTCTTTCTAAATAAACTCCGAACTTCCCGAAATTCAATCCTGGCCACGCATGCAAGTCATAATACCTAAAGTGAAGCTACTCAGGGTCTCAAACCGCTGAACGATGCGCTAGAGCTCATAACTACGGTCGGGTCATTACAGATGAGTTGAGTGACTGTTGCCTTGAAAGGTTGTACTTGCTTTTAAATTATTGTTGCACTTAGCTGTTATCTGTCATTGTTGTGCAATTTCTGAAAAATTTATATTTGGTTTACTTGGGCTCGAACTGATTTGACTTAAACTGCAGAATTTGAAAGCATGTTCACTCTTTACTTAAAACTTCTGAAGTGAACTGTATTTACATAGCTCGTCACTGCTTTTCAGTTCCTTATTTATTTTTGTAAGTTACTGAGTTGGTTGTACTCACGCTACACCCCTGCACTTCATGTGCAGATCCAGGTGTGTCCAGTCACAGAGGGTGTTGATCTCAAATGTAGCTGATTATCAGAGACTTACGAGGTAGTTACCGGCGTCCACAATCCTTGTCTCTCCTATCTTATTATTTTTTCTCTCTTGTATTGACATATGTCACAAACTGTAGTACACCCTGTTTCTATACTGGTTGTTAGATGCTCATGGCTTAGTGTCACCCCAATGTCCAACTATTATTCTGCATTTGTGTTTTGGGTTTTACCCTATTGTTATGTAAACCTCCGGTTAATTTAATTGCCTTAACTCATTTTTGCCATATATTGAAAGCATATTGATAGTGTCAACTTACCTAGTTCCACGATAGGCGCCATCAAGACGGATTAGGAATTTGGGTCGTGACAACATGTTTCTATTGTGAGCACGTAATTTTTCCCTAATGCAAATTGCTCCTCAAAAATATTGCAAAATAGTTTTTTAATTATTTCATAGAATTTTAGAAATTTTTCTTTATTTTTATCCAACTTGTTTTGCATTTATTTGCATATATTTATAAATGTTTTAAACCATAAAAATCATAAAAATATTTCATACTTCATTTCATAGCATTACATAATTAAATGCATTATCAAAAGAAAATCACAACAAAAAAAAGCATAATAGTCATTGTTATATTTTTAGTTTTTAGTTTTAAATTAGTAATTCCCTTTCATTAATTTACATTGTTAAGTTAATTAACTAGTTGTTAGATAAAGTAGTGAAGAAATTAATTTTGCAATTTTCGTTTTATGATAGTTTAATTAGCGATTTTAAAAATTGAAAGGAAAGAAACAAAGAGAAATGGGTAAAAATTGCACGGGGCAGCCGCTTTGTCTTTTTGTTTGCATCCGTACCCACTTTTTAAAAAACTTCCGCTTCCCCTTCTCCTCCCCTTACAACATAGAAACTTCAGCTCTAGAGCTGAAGTTTTCTAGTTACAACACAAAAACTTCAGATCTAGAGCTGAAGTTTTTATTTTATAACTGGAAAGAGCTGAAGTTTTTGTTTTATAACTGGAAAACTTCAGCTGGAACCGGTTGAAGTGTTTATTTTATAACTGGAAAGAGCTGAAGTTTTTGTTTTATAACTGGAAAACTTCAGCTGGAAACAATTGAAGTTTTTGTTTTATAACTAGAAAACTTCAGCTGGAAACGACTGAAGATTTTGTTTTATAACTGGAAAACTTAAGCCGGAAACGGCTTAAGTTTTTTATTTTATAACTGGAAAACTTCAGCTGGAAACGGTTGAAGTTTTTATTTTATAACTGGAAAACTTCAGCTGGAAACGGCTGAAGTTTTTGTTTTATAACTGGAAAACTTAAGCTGGAAACAACTTAAGTTTTTATTTTATAACTGGAAAACTTAAGCTGGAAACGGCTTAAGTTTTTATTTTATAACTGAAAAACTTAAGCTGGAAACTGCTTAAGTAAACTTAAGCTCTAGAGCTTAAGTAAAACTTAAGCTGAAGTTTTCCAGCAAAAGAAAAACTTCAGCCCCGCGGGCTGAAGTTATTCCAGCTTAAGTAAACTTAAGCTCTAGAGCTTAAGTAAAACTTCAGCTGAAGTTTTCCAGTACAAAAGAAAAACTTCAGCCCCGTGGGATGAAGTTATATGAAAAAGCGGGTACGCTTGCAAACAGAAAGACAAAGCGGGCACAAGTTAAAATGTGGCACAAAAAACGGGTATAGATGCAAATGCCCCGAGAAATGGTCTCTCTTGAGACGGACTAGGGCAATATGGCTAAATTGCCAAAAGCTCCACTTCACCCGGCCCAATCCTCACCTCCGCCAGGCCCGGCCCCAAATACTCAAAACGACACTGTTTCCCCTATTCAATTCTAAACACTCCCATTTCCCGTTTCATTATGAAAATTTTAATTGTAAAATAAAACTCATAATTCTAATTTGAAAAAAAAAAAGGAGAAAAAAATAAATTTATTTTACGTATAATACGAAATAACAACTATTAAAAATATCGGTAGATTTTTTTACAACATAATAAAAGGCTTCTCTTTTTTTCAAAACTTTAAATGAATTCAAAAATCCTAATTTTCTAATAAATATTAAATTATTTTAATTACATTGAAAAATAATTATAAATATTAAAATATTTATATCTAAATACTTAAACCAAATAATGAAAAAAAAGAAATAGGAAAACAAAATAATATTGGTGGAAGGAATCGGCCCCGTCAAGGGCAACTTCATATCTGGCCTTTAACCATTGCACCACCCAGCACTTTACCCCTATTTCAGTACATTAAATTCTATTTATCTGTTTTTTTGCGCACATCGCCTTTTTAAAGGGTGTTATATATAAAAAGGTGACTATATTTTTTTTACATATTTTGGTTTTTTGAGTCCCACATTTTTGTTCTGTAAAATAGGACAGCTCTTCAACAACAACAACAACAACGATCCAGTATAATCCTACAAATGAAGTGTGGAGAAAATAATATGTATGCAGAACTTACCCCTACCCCGAATGATAGAGAGACTGTTAAAATAAGACAGCTCTTCATCTCTTTTAAAAAGAAGATGCTCTCTCCACTAATTTTGAGCAGACATATTCTCCTATATCCTCTCTCCTTTTCTCTCGTATAGTACACCCCTACAGATATAAAGGACACTGTTCGCTGCATTAGAAAAGTAAAAGATGGAAAATTCTGCATTTTTTAAAGAGAGTAGATTCCCCTCATTTTGGCACTGATTTTTTCTGCTCGAGTGTTCATTTGCTTATTCCAGTTCTTGTTCTGCTATTTCTTCTATCTCTGCCTTTATTTGGCTTACTCCAGCTTGTTTCAAGGTTAGAATTCTTTGCCTCTTTCATGAAATTCAAGTGTAATTGTTTATATCAAGAGAGTATGTTAGAGGGGTATATTTTTTTTATTACTTTAGTCTTCCTACATAATTAATCGGGGCAATAACGTAAAACTAAAAGACTTGCTGGAATTCACCAGCTAAATCATTGAATAATGTGACATAAAATATGATTATGTGTTTTAAGATAAGTTTCTGATTACTAAAGAGAAACTAGATTGTACATATATAAAAAGCTAGCCGGCATTGATAATCAAAAACTCCTAATCAGAATATGGACAATATTATATGTATATTTCTCAATAATTCCCAGTTGTTAATAGACCTCATTCATTGACTCACAGCCATTTTCCTTCTCTCTAATAATTGACTAAACTTCCATCACTACAGAGTAGAAACTCTCCGCTGCTGAAAGACGGAAGGTCAGTGTTTTTCTTGCTTATTTTTTGTTTCAAAATTTAATTAAGACAACATGGATTTATACTTATACAGTGTTGTTATTGATTGTATATTTAGTACTATGTATTTCATTTATTTTGAAATATATGGGATTTTAAATATATAAGTCATAAAACACGGAATTCTAAGCTGGATTAGTAGTAAATGAAATAAAAGAATAATTGTAAATGTTTAATTGAACTGGAAATTTATAAAAGGAATCTGAATCTGAAAATGGGAATGTTTTGATTTAATTCGACATTAGGGGGATTTTACATTAGGGTTTCACGAACTGGACTGCTAATTTGAGAAACAAAGAATATTTGAAGAAAAGAATCCATGACCATGAGTTCTTTGTTTGTAATTACAGGCAATTTAGAATCTATGTCAGAGAATTAAGAATTCCTAATGGAAATTTAGCACCCATTTTTTTTCCTGATCTTTGTATTGCTCACTGGAGATTGATCATGTCATTGCTATTACTCATGTTAGGCATACTGCTCTCTGACATCAAGCATTTCAACCCGAAAATAGATCAAGCTAATTAGGATGGAGGATGTCAACATTGATGAGAGTGCTAAACAAAGTACTCAAGTAACTGAAGAGGAACCTGTGGGGCTTGAGGATGATGCTGAGAAGATAATTAAGCTACTGACCAGAGGAATAAGGGAACGGGATATTGTCTCGATTTTTGGCATGCCTGGTCTCGGAAAGACCACTTTGGCGAAAAAAATATTCAAAGATTCTTCTATTGTTTCTCACTTTGATGTTCGAGCTTGGCTTACAATTTCGCAATCATATGATGTGAGAGAGCTGTTGAGGAATATCTATAAGCAAGTGACAGGTGTTGAGTACGATGATAAGGAGAGTGACATAGCCGATACGTTGCGCAAGTGTTTAATGGGCAAAAGATATCTCATTGTCTTGGATGATGTATGGGAAGTTGATGCATGGGATGAGTTAAGATTATGTTTTCCAATTGGTAAACAAGGAAACAGAATCATGTTAACAACTCGACTTAAACATGTGGCAATGGAAGTCAAGAACTGTACCGATCCTTATTCCCCTCGATTCCTAACCAAGGAAGCGAGCTGGAAATTGTTGCAGGAAAAAGCATTTCAAAAGGAAACTTGCCCTCCGGAATTACAGGATGTTGGCGTACAAATTGCGGAATATTGTAAAGGACTGCCTCTTACAGTTGTTTTGATCGGTGGAATTCTGGCGAAGAAAGAAAGGAATGTCTCAGAGTGGTGTGAAGTTGCAAACAATTTAACGTCTCATCATGGATCAGTTGAAAGTGAGAGCAACTTGGCAATACAATTAAGTTACTGCTATTTACCAGATCATTTGAGACATTGCCTTCTAACTATGGGAGTATTTAGGGAGGATGAAAAATTTGGAGCATCTAAATTGATGTTACTCTGGGTGGCCGAAGGCCTCGTTCAATGTAGTGATGAGAGAGGATTGGAGGAGGTAGCTGAAGGTTACTTGAGCGATATAATTTCTAGTAGCCTACTAATGGTTACAAAGACGACCTTTGATGGCAAGGTGAAGTACTTGCAAATTCATGATCTAGTGCGTGACTTTGTCTTAAACAAAGCTAAAGAAGAAAAGTTCATGCAAGTTATAGGGACACATAACCAATATCAACCTTCATATGATGAGGAACATCGAGTGTGCATTCACCTCGACCATAAGCTTCGTCATGATTTGGAGAGATTCAACAACAAAGTAGATATATTCCTCACAAGCGGCTCCACATCTTTTGGTCAAGATCTTAAATCGTTTTTTGTTACTAATAATGCGGATGATTTTCTTGCTTATAGAGATTTTTGGAGTAGTGAGTCTAGTTTTCACGGTACTATTTCTGAAGAGTATTTATCTCGTTCCTATCATTTCTCGTCAGTTGGAGACTTAAAACTTCTTAGAGTGTTGGATTTCAAGAACTGCATTCCAGGGGATTATACAAATATAGTTGATATACTGCAGTCACTAGTTTACCTGAGATACCTTGGAATGTGTGTCGAAAAGTTTTTTTTCAAGTGGGTATCACACATGTGCGACCTAGAAACTTTACTGGTGGATACTGAGAGAATAGTAGAAGGGACACCTCATATTTGGAAGATGACGAAACTAAAGCATGTAGACGTAGGAACACTCTTACCTCGTGAGATATTTGCAGTTTCTGAAGAAGGTCCGTCTAAGTTGGAGAATTTAAGGGAATTTAAAGGCATGTGTTTATCTCGTGAGGATATAGAGTTAATTGAGAGGTTTTCCAATCTTCAAAAGCTTCTCCTCATAATAAGTGATAATGATATTTATGAAGCTAACTCTCTCGTTCTGAAATTGGATGTTCTTACACAGCTTCAGTCCCTCGTGCTTGGTTCGATGTGTAATATCACCAAGTATTATTTACCTTCAAGTCTCAAAGAGCTGATCCTCCGCCAAGTTAATATACTAGCAAGTGCAACTTCCACACTCGCTGCGTTACCCAACCTTCAAAGACTGATATTTCAAGGATGTACATTCGAGCAAGAGGAGTGGGACGTGAGAGATATGGAGTTCCCGGTACTCAAAATCTTAAAATTTCGAAGCATTCATCTTAGGGGATGGCATGTCTCAGAATCATCGTCATTTCCCATGCTTGAGAGTTTAGTGCTAAGATCTGTTGAATTGCTTAAGAAGATTCCTGACAGTTTTGTGGATATTGGAACGCTTACATCAATCAAGGTGATCTATTGTGATGATAATCTCAAGGCTTCAGCTTTGGAGATTAAGGAAGAAGTAGAAGCAACTACAGGATGTGACAACCTCAAGGTCGATATTCTTCCACATTACTCTCGGTATGTCTTTCTTTTCACCCTTCATTTTTTATGTGCCAAAATTCAAATTCTGTTGAAGTTTTATGACAATGTACATATGATGTTTCAATTATTTTCAATTTTCTTTTTTTCTAATTCTTTTTCACAAAAAGTTTAGCTTACTTTCATACGCTTGGACGCTATTGCCAGTCTCATTTAAAACTTAAAAAGAACTATAAGCTATATGACCTATATATTAGCTGCTAGAATAAAACACTGGCTCAAAACTTTTTCAGAGGTTGTGGCTTTTATGTCTTTTTAACTGCTAATATATGCATTGAGCCACTCAAAACCTTATAAAGTGAAACCTATATAACGCTTGGGAAATGGAGTTTTTCCACTCTCTCTATTCTTGACGCTACCCAATTGCCACTTGTTATCTTGTTGGATCATATTGGGAAGATGGAAAATCTGAACTAACTCAATTTATGAGTTTAATTCATTATGTTATTCTTGTTATAACTGCAGAATAGGTTTATATATATCTAATGTATGTTACATTAATCCGAACACGCTGTTATNAATGTATGTTACATTAATCCGAACACATTGTTATTGTTGTTAAAAAAAGGGAACAAAAAGAAAAAGAAGAGGAATATGAAGAGGAAGAGAAAACAGAAGCAGCAGCAGAAGAAGCAGCAGCAGCAGTGGCAGAAGTAGAATCAGAAGAAAAACAGAAGGTAGAAGAAGAAGCAGCAACAGCAAAAGTAGAAGCAGAAAAGAAAGAGGATGAGGAGGAGGAAGATGACAAAGTTACAGAGCTTTCAGCGCTATCATTTAAGACTTTCAATCTTGGTTACAGCAGCAGCAGCAGCGGCGGCGGAAGTAGAAGCAGAAAAAAAAAAACCAGAAGGTAGACGAAGAAGTAGCAACATCAAAAGTAGAAGCAGAAAAGAAAGAGGATGAAGAAGAGGAGAAGGAAGATGAAAAAGTTACAGAGCTTTCAGCGTCATCATTTAAGACTTTCAATCTTGGTTATATGAAATGCAAGGTAACGTTGCGTACAATAGACTCTTATGGTCCGGCCCTTCCCCGGACCCCCCATAACGGGAGCTTAGTGCACCAGGCTGCCCTTTAATCTTGGTTACATGCTTTTTCTTTTTCTTCTCTTATAAAAGCTGTTTGGACATTTTCATCATTCATGTTATTCTCTGTAAAACCCTATAAGTTTTGGACAATATGGGTGTGTTTGTTTGATTACCCGATATGTCATTTTTAATTTTAACCTTCATTGTATTTCGAGATCTCGAATAGCTCCATTCATCCTTCCTCGATTTACGTGCACTATCTATATCTTTTTCCGGAAAATTATATGTGAAAAAACAAAGATGAAATTTTGCCTTTAAAACTCATTTGAGTTGACTTCGATCAATGTTTTGAGCAAACGGATCCGGATAAGTATTTTGACAGTTCTGGTGGGTCCGTATCGTGGTTTGGGACTTGGGCGTATGCCCGAAATCTAATTTGGAAGTCCCTAGCTTGAATTCGCCATTTGACGAAAACTAGAAATTTAAAGGTTTAAAGAATTCTTAAATTTGGCATAATTGTATTTTTGTTGATACCGGGTCCCGATTTGGATTGAGAGTTCGATCTTATTCTGAGGTGCGTAGGTATGTTTTCTGTTTTTTTTTTTTTTTTTAAAAAGGTTTGATTTTATAAAGCTTGACTTTCTAAAGTTTGACTGGAGTTTGACTTTTGAGTAAACGACTTTGGAATGGAATTTTGATGATGTCAATAGTCTCGTATGGTGATTTTGGACTTAGGGATGTGTCCGGATTTATTTGGAAGTCCATAATTGATTTTGGCTTGAAATGGGCGAAAGTTGGAAAATGGGAGATTTTTAGAAAGTTTGACGGGGAGTTGACTTATTGATATCGGGGTCAGAATTCAGTTCTGGAAATTAGAACAACTCCATTACGTCACTTATGACTTGAATGCAAAATTTGAAGTCATTCCGGATTAATTTGATACGTTTCGTCAAAAGGTATAGAATTTGGAAAATTTCATAAACTCATAAGTTCGATTCTAGGTGCGATTCGTTGTTTCGGTGTTGTTTGATGTGATTTGAGGCATGGACTAAGTTCATAATATGTTCTGAGACTTGTTGATAAGTTCGGATGGGGTCCCGAGGGGCTCGGGTGAGTTTCAGACCATTTATAGGCCATTTTTAACGGCTGATTTTTGGCTACAACAGTGTGCATCATAGAAATTTCTGTTGGGCAAGGCTGACTTTGGAGGCTTATATTTCGTAATTTGTAAGGAATTTGGAGATGATTCAAAAATAAAAGTTGTAGCACTTCGAGTCTAGTTTTGAGAAATATAAACCATTCATAATTTAGACATTTGTACAAAAAGTTATAATTGATTAACTGAAGCCTGGTACTGCAATTGTTTTGCCTGGCAGTACGCATCGCAGAAATTTCTGCTGCACATGACTGACTTTGGGAAGAGTTTTTGGAATAGTTTGGTGTTTTAACATAAGCATGTAATGATTCAAATCTCCATTTTTAGTTGTAGAGATCGAAATTCAATTTCGACACTTCCGAGAGTTTGATAATGAATTATAGGAATGATCCGAAATATTTGGTCTAATTTCATCAAGTCGCGATTGGGTTTTTAGCGCGCATAAGTTAAACTCCTCTGACTTGACAGCTAAATTTTCTGTTATTCAATAACCATCATCAATACTACAGAGTGAAAAATGTTTGATCTACATACATGATTTGACAAAGAGAACTTTTCCTTCTTGTTGCACTTATTTTTATTAAACAAACACGTATTCAAGCATCTTTAATTTGCTATTTTCTTACTTTAAATTTGTATTATTTGAGAACCATAATTTAATACTGTTATGTGATTTTAAAAATTAAAGTATGTAAGTTACTCTTTTGTTATTAATACAAATTTCTTTTTTGGTATATGACTTGTGGTATCGAAGTTATATGAATGGCTGTGGTATTAAATTGGAATTTATTATTTTGATTAGCATCTAAAAGGAAGAAAAAAGCTGATTAATTAGAGATAATTTCCCGACATTTCTAAGCATGTGTTGCAAGGATGGGTATGATTTGCCGACATTTCCTTATATGTCGCACAGAATGAGTTATAACTCAAAATTGGTGACATTCGGTAAGAATCGTAAATAATTGTCATAATTTATTTACCGACATTAATATAAATGTCGGAAAATTTACGATATTTGATTTAAGTGTCAAATAAATATCGGCAATTTATTTTGTGACATTTATGTGACTTAAAATAATATTTAAAAAATATCGTCGTATCTTAACTTTCTTGTAGTGTGTGTTATCCAAAATCAAAGCATATAGTTGCAAGAAAATTAGGTCCTAACGAAACAACCAATAACATATATTGATAATGACAGGAATGAAATTTAGCAGATTTAGCTATAAAAAGAATGCAGTTCAATTTTAAATAAAAAAAATATCACACCTTGAAATGGAATAATTCACCCAGATACGACTTTTCATTCTGTAAATGAATCTAGCCTATAGTTTCTATTGAATACGATAAAACGCTTCAAATTCATCAGTTTTCTATTAACCAAGAAAAGTTCTTTTCCTAATTTAATTGTTATTATCTGTTATCTTTATTTTAATGCATATTTATATTTTTGTACAAAAATGTTACTGGATTGGTTTTTGATTGAGGGGCAAAAATATCATTGAAACATAGCCGCTATTTTTGGATTGGTCATTCAAAAATAGCCAGCGTTTACCAAGTCAATAAAAAATAGCCGCTATTTTGCTGCAATAGAGACCGATCCAGCATAATATACTGGAGTTCGATGCACCTGTATATGAATTTCCAGCATATTATGCTGGAACTCCAACACACGGAAAGTTCCAGCATAGTATACTGGAGATTCGAGCACTTGTATATGAACTTCCAACATATTATACTGGACCGGTATATTTTGCTGGAACTCTAGTATATTATGCTGGACTTCTAGTGTACTTATGCTAGAACTCCATCATATTATGCTGGAGTTCCAGCATACTTATCATGGAACTCCAGTATAATATGCTGGAGTTTAAGTATACTTATGCTGGAACTCCAGCATAATATGATGGAGTTCTAGCATAAGTACACTAGAACTCCAGTATATTATAATATACTGGAGTTCTAGTGTACTTATGCTAGAACTCCATCATATTATGCTGGAGTTCCAGCATACTTATCATGGAACTCCAGTATAATATGCTGGAGTTTAAGTATACTTATGCTGGAACTCCAGCACAATATACTGACGTATTTTTGGGATTTTGAACAGTATTTTCGCTTAGATTTATCTTTACATGAAAAGTGGCTAAATTTCAATTATTTTTGAAACTATGCTATTTTTTAGCGACCACTTGTAAATCTGGATATTTTTGAATTTCGTGATCCGTCAAAATGACTGCAAAATCTTGGTAATTGTCATATTATACACAATATGTTATGGTGCCCAAATCAAATATGAGATGGTGGCCATAGCTAGTAGTGTACTTCATAATTCTAACGCAATACTATTTTTCTGAAAGAATTTAATGGGATTAAAAGTTAAATGGTAGCACTAAATAATCCTAGTTATGCAAATCATATTCATTGTTTACTTTTTTTAGTCATATACATAGATTATACATAAATATAGATATATAATACATAAATTATGCATATATTATATCTCGATCTGCTATTTTTGGGGCATTTGCATCTATACCCGCTTTTCGTGTCATGTTTTAACTTGTGTCCGCTTTGCAAAAAAAAATTACAAGCGTTCTAGAGCTGAAGTAGCAAAAGCAATCGCGCAAAACTTCATCATTCTAGTAGCCGGGCCTGAAGTTCAGCTCTAGAGCTGATGTTTTTGTTTTGTAACTGTCGAACTTCAGCTCTAGAGCTGAAGCTTTTGTTTGTAACTGACGAAGTTTTTGTTTGTAAGCTTCAGCTCTAGAGCTGAAGTTTTTATTTTTTAACTATCGAACTTCAGTTCTAGAGTTGAAAGTTTTGTTTGTAAGCTTCAGCTCTAGAGCTGAAGTTTTTATTTTTTAACTATCGAACTTCAGTTCTAGAGTTGAAAGTTTTGTTTGTAAGCTTCAGCTCTAGAGCTGAAGTTTTTATTTTTTAACTATAAGCTTCAGCTCTAGAGCTGAAGTTTTTATTTTTTAACTATCGAACTTCAGCTCTAGAGCTGAAGTTTTTGTTTGTAACTGACGAAGTTTTTGTTTGTAAGCTTAAGCTCTAGAGCTGAAGTTTTTATTTTTTAACTATCGAACTTCAGTTCTAGAGCTGAGTTTTTGTTTGTAAGCTTCAGCTCTAGAGCTGAAGTTTTTATTTTTTAACTATTGAACTTCAGCTCTAGCTCTAGAGCTGAAGTAGTTGTTTGTAAGCTTCAGCTCTAGAGCTGAAGTTTTTATTTTTTTAACTATCGAACTTCAGCTCTAGAGCTGAAGTTTTTGTTTTTTAACTATCGAACTTCAGCTCTACAGCTGAATTTTTTCTTTGTAAGCTTCAGCTCTAGAGCTTCCATCTCCTTGAGTCCGCGTCATTTATTCCAGGCTAGACATGTGAAAATGCAAGAATGATTGAAAGATTATTACTTTTTGCTCTTTCGGTCCAGTTAACTTAAACCTAATTGTTCAGCATTTCACCAGATAGAGTGCTAAACGATGTTGCAGCCAATGTACTATGTAGTTAGCTATAATCATATTTCTCTGCACAGGCAGTTCATATCCTTTGCACAGTTCAGCAGAAGCTAATAAACTTCTCTGACGAAGGTGATTTAGTGTCACGATCCAATCCCCGAACCCGGTCGTGATGGCGCCTCTCGTGAAGACAAGGCCAGTCAGACCCAAACGGAACACCTCTTTTAAACAGTTAATCATCATAAACAGTAATAAAATATAATATAACATTCATAAATTGTGGAATTTAACAATAATAACAGCAGGAACCATCCCGACACAGCCCAAACTGGGGTGTCACAAGTCATGAGCTACTACAGAATCTGCTATAGGTCTACGAAGTACGGAAACCGATACAACAGTCTGAAGAAAACATAAATGATAGAGGATAAGAGAGACAAGGGGTTGCGGACGTCAACAGCTACCTCGTAACTCCAAATCACTGCCTAGCCTGGAAGGAATCAGCGCTCAGGAACGGATTCTGCGATGCATGAATCTGCACACATGGTGCAGGGAGTAATGTGAGTACTCCGACTCAGTGAGTAATAATTACAAATAAT